TTTCATTTACCACATCGCCATCCTCGCCTTCTGTTCTATCATAAAGCTCATGCTCAAGTTGTTGCCACAATTCAACTTCAGTCATCCGGTCTTCATGTCTATCATGGTCTGTGAGCCCCTCATGCTCATCACCGACATCACCATCAGCGTCTTGACGCATTCTATCAGAATAAGAACAATCAATCTCTGAAGTCCATTCCATTCCTACAGATGAAGATACAGGAAGGTCAATGGTTTCAATGGCAGTTGAGCTTGTGATTCTCCTGGGGGATGTAAGAAGAGTCAGAAGTCTCTGTGTTGCCACCATAGGATCCTCCAGAACTTCCTTCATCATTTGAGTTTGAATGAGCAGCTGAGGCTCGGTGACGAGGAGCCATGCACGACCATGATGACAAGCCAAGGGAAGGACGAGTCCATGCTGCCTGAGCCATGCTCTGGGCTCTTCTCATAACAACCTGTGAAGTCAGAAAGTTCCACAAGCTAATCAAATGATTAAGTAGAAGAGGAATACAGATACCAAGTTGAAAGCTTCTATAACAAGAATGTCACAAGACATGACACATATTAGAAGTGGTATTCAGTTGATTACAAGAAGGTTGTGAAAGGACAAGAATACAATGCGAAACAAAACTACATTAAAAAGAAAAAAGGTTACCTGTGTACCATTGGAAACAGGGCGTAGAATTGCCCCTGCCCCAGCAACTTTTGCTTTTGCACTGGCAATGGAGGGAGCCGTGATCCCAAAGCTGAAGCAGAACGATAGACAGTGCTAAGAATTCTTGTCTGCTCAATCTGATTTCTCAAGTCATTTATCCAAGCAGACGCCGTAACCTGTAAAAAGTTACAAAATTTTATAAAACAATACATTAGAAAGAGACATGGTAGAACAATAAAAGGAATATCATAAGCATTTGCAATGTCTCAATGAAACTACAGAAAGCATGCAAGTTTTTCAAGCACCAACAAGCCAGAGAACCAGCACTGAATGGCTGTACAGAGAAAATTTATCGAAAATAACAAGCTATCATGGAAAAAAACATATTCAACAAATATCATTAATCCTTGTCAAGAGCCCATTTATTTACTGGAAGGAAATATCACAATCACTAAAAGAGAAATTAGAAACGAGCATGCAGAGATGGCGCTAGAGTAAGAGCTTTCCTGCTCGCTTTTTATTCAACTTCATTGTCATAATCAGACTAAAATCACCAGTAATAACACAAACCATTTAGAAGAACAAACAATGTACTGTAAAATGAAAAGCCTTATCAGCACTCAGCAGCAACAAATACAATCTGAGTACTACAAACTTTGTCCAAGTCAATTTATAGGGAGAATATACTAGTTATGACCCTATTCAAGAAGTGCCGCCCCTATTCAAAATCAGCATATTTAGTCAACCAGATAAGCATCATTAGTCCCACAACAACAAATATAGCAATCTCCCAAGGAGTACTCAATAACAGAGTTTAAGAACATAACCTCAGCACGCAAATCATCCACTGATGCAGCAGAGAACGTGGGCACTAAGTCAGCTCCATTGACAACGGATGTAATAAAACCACCTCCTGATTCTGCCAATTCCCACGTCATGCAGGCAGCTGCGTTGTTATACGTAGTTAGTGCCAATAGAAATACTTAACCGAACAAAAAACAGTTACATAATGCTAAACTAAACAAATATCCAGATTCAGAACAAAATAATACAAGACAGAACTAAAAGGGTTTTTGGTGTTGAGAATACAAAAAAAGAAACCCGACTTGATGCACAGCACTGAAATTCATATTAGGCCATGGCATCTAATGAACACAAACCTGGAGCAAAAGTCACACAGGTGGTTGTTGAAAGTTCTTTTTGCTCTCGCAATATATATGTTAGAAGTGCTGCAGTGCCTCCACCCAAAGAATGCCCTACAATCTATCAGAAACAATTATGTTATACATGTTTTGATCTTGTGGACCAAAATATTGTTCAAAGCTACCAAATGGTTTAAGACGAAACATTTGAACAATATGTTACACGAATCTACTTAAAATATTGTAAGTTTGATCAAGTTCCAAGAAAAAACTGTTGGTAGTCATACGGTATGTGTAATTCATAATACAGTTAACAGGAGAAGACTGCTGAAATAACTAATCTGATAATCCATAAAGCCCCACCCATCACCTGTTGCAGCTTTGCTGCTACAGGGGCACAGTTATAGATATGCAAAATAATTAAAATATCAATAAAAATGATACTGGAAGGTATCAGAGCCAAGATGTCTACTGAAAAACTGTACTTTCTACAAACTACTACATCAGAATCGTTTAGATTAACAACATAACAATATCTGCTAATTAGCCAATTAAGATGAGTAGTAAAATAGAGAACATCCGCACTTCATGCCACTACCTTAAGTTCATAGTCAGGATATTCTTCAAGTGCTTTTAGTAGGCAAGGTTTTGCAAGCTTTGCAATCCATCGAGCAGCCGCAACCATTCCACAATGTGCATAACCCAAAACTAAATTACTGACTCCTCCCTCATGTACAACACTGTGATGGAATGGTACAATAGCTCCCGTTGCAGCCGTCAGAGTGTCCTTAATACTATGGGTTCCACGAATCAGCAACAGAAAACACTTCTCATTATGATCAACAAGAATTGTAAAAGCAGGCTTCAAGATCTGCAAAACACGGTAAATACAGAATTTGATATTAATGGATAGTGCTAATTAATTTTTTATGCCATTGACAGTAAATAGTGCATAAAGACACCGACCAACGATCACTACAACAGTAACAATATGTAAGTAATGTAACCTACTCCTGCTTTGGGTTCCTGCAGAAGAACATTCTCTTCTGAATAGCCTGTCTCCTCTAAAAACAATGGAAAAGGTTTCTTCGAAAAATGCCAACACAGTGTCAATAAGTTTAAGAGGTATTTGAGTTCAGCAATTATTTGAGATCCTTTTAGCTGTTGACTGTCTATTCCACCAAATACACCATGAACGTGTAAGTTTCCCTGCACCATACAGACGATCTATTATCAAATATCACTCTTCCAACCAAACCAAAGAAGAAAAATGACTACTTGGTATATATACCAGATAAGGGCTCATATAATCAAACAATAAATACAAGAAGGATAGCATGTCATGTAAAAAAATTTCTTTTCTTGTGAATCTATTTATCTCCAGAATGGCACACACTTTTGGATAGTTCCTGTCTTGGTTCTGTTATTATCCCAAAGAAGTGCTAATCATAGGTAAACTTCCCAAATTTTTTGTGAAAGCTGCAGAGTATAATGTCACATTTTCACCATTCTGTTTTTAACGCTCAGTTAGAAGGATGCTTTTCATAATTCAACCGCCCAGTTTTCCATCTCTAGATTGAGTAATATATTCAGATATAAGATACGAATGGTTTTTGTAAAAGCAACATCCGTCTATCATGAATCTTAATACTAAAATCTCGCCACAATGAAAGCAACCATCTAAGTGACACAAATCCCACATGTGAAAGTTATAAGATCAGTGTAACCACTGTATTCAGCACATAAAGCAAAACCCGCATGCAATGATCACAACATCAATGTAAACACTGAAACCGACACAGTAAAGAAACTATGTCCATGAAAACATTTTACCTGCCTCTTTAGAAGAAAGCTAATCCCAAATGCCAAATCCCCTATAGGCCACTTCCCCAAAGTCTCGGAGTAAGTAAACCTTAGAGTTTCCGACAAAGTCGAAATGGTCTCCAGCCACGTAGCCGGGGCTTGAATTAACCTATGCGAAACGCGTTCAATTCCCAAAGGAGCATGATTGGGCACACCACCGCCCCCATTTTCGTCATCATCACCGTCCGATGTAGGGGACTGTAACTTACGATTCAATGTATAATATAAAAGAGCAGCTGCACCGGCTGCGGTAGCCATAGTTGCAGTTGCCATTAGCTTACTATCCCTACAACAATACAAAATTAACAAAAACATGATCAAAATTCTACTTTAACAAAAACCCCTCAATCCAAAATCTCCCAAATAACAAAAATTAAACGAATTTTCCTGCTTGTATACAAAATCAACTCCCTTCTTAATTACCGCGAAATTTCTACAAAAATAAAACCAAAAAAAAAAAAAAAAGTGAACAAAATCGAAAACCCAATAACATGAGGAGAAAAATTGAAGAAAACCTGATTGAAATCAGAAATTGCTTAAAAAAAAAAAAAATCAATCCGAGAAAACCCTAAAATTTGGGGAATTAACAGAAATCCGAGATAAGGTTAAAAGGAAGGCGGTAATTAGATAGAATAACGAGAGGAGATCGATGAAGAGCGTGGATAAAATGGTAATTGAATGAGATTATCTTCGAGCATAAGGCATCGAATAAAAGATTGATCCTTTGACGAGAGCGAGAGAGAGCCTATAAATTCTGCGATTCTTCCTCTTTATGGGTTTGGAGGAGTTCGGGAGAGCTTTCGCGCAGTTTTGAAGCAAAACGGCAGGCGGGGGCGTAGTTTTGGTTGGGGACACGTGTCGGGCGACGGAAGACGGTGAGTGGGAAAGGATGTGGCAATTAGAAACCGACCTCAACTGTGATGTGATACGGGCAGATGGAAGTGAAATTCCGCACACGCTGCCTCCCTTCCTTGTACTTTTTCTCTCTGCCTCTGCCTCAGGTGGTCAAACTGACTTATATTAAAATATTAAAAAACATTAATAACCCAAATATGTTGTGATAATACGTGGATGGCCCACATGAATAGTTTGTTACTATTTATGCACAGTATTTTCACTATTTATTTGTGGAAAATTTGTAAAGTGAATAGTGTTTTCTTTTGTTTATATAAAGGAAGAATAGATAGATGAATGTGATGAGTTCACGGGAAAGAAAGAGAGGAAGGAAGGAAGAGGAAGAGAGAGAATAGAGGAAGATGAGAGGAGATAATAGAGAGAGTTATCTTTGTACTCCTATTATTCTAAATTATAATGAAAGCACCTTTGCTGCCCCGAGGACGTACTCCAGTCACACTGACTGTAGAGGAACCTCGTAAATTTTGTGTCTTGTTTCATTTATTCCACTGCACCCACAGTCGATTTTACAACACGTTATCAGCACGAGAAGCTCTCATGTCAGTGGAAAGCATAACGCCATAAATTCGGATAAACACAGAGTAGAGACGGCAAGCCAGACACGACAAACAGGGAAGATCATATTGTCCCAAAAATCCATCAACCTTTCTTTTATCACTATAACTATTGATGTGCTAATCCTTATCCCTGCTAGACCTGCAATATATTTTTCTCTCGTGGACAAGAAAGATGGAGAGATCTTACAGACAAACAAAGGTGCAGCAAAACAAGCAAAGGTATGTCCATTTTTCATTTCTCCCACCGCGCCAGAAGCGCCCCACCGAATTCTGGTGCGAATTGAAATTTCCAACGACCTGAAGTCGTCACGAGATAAGAAAACTCGTACCTGACAACTGGTTTCCAGAGATCCAGAAGAATCTCATTAGACTTGGAAACCCAGATCGTGTCGTTCTCAATGGATCTCGAGGACCTTCATGAATCCTCAGTTGTCTGAAATGGTGATGGCATGACTGACCCCACACAGGCCTCCCTCTCTTGTGCCTTCGTCAACCTCACTGTCATCTATGTCTCTATGGAGAGGTTCTTGCTTTGCGATGCCATGTTCTTTGGGCCATACAAGAACAACGCCAGTCTCTGGTAGCCTTTTTGGATTGAATTGGTTTTGTGTAACTCCCACAACAACCCAGCTGGTACTGGGTTTCGAGACTGGTAGAGATAGACAAAGAAAAGGGGAAATGGGGCCAATGATTTGGAAAGGTGCGTTGCACCATGTAAAATGAAAGAAAAGGCAATGTTTTTTTTGGAATGGTGTAGAATGTGATTGAATGAGAAAATAATAAAATAAAATAAAAAGGAAATGGGGACGAAGGTTATTGGAGGTACATGAGCACCATCTGGTAAGGATAAGAATAATAATAAAAAAGGGGAAAAGTTTGAATGATTGCCAATCAAAGAAAAAAAAAATATGATGGAAACTTAATCATCACCCTTTTCTATTATTGCTTTATTTATATGAATGGTGTTGGCTTAAAAACACTTTCACACAAGCTCTATTTATTTAAAGCAATTTATTTACAGTGGGTAGAATTATTACCCTTTGCTTTAAAGCTTTGATATTTATGTGAATGGTGCTGAATTAAAGCCCTTGTCACAAGCTTTATTTACTTTACAGCAATTTATTTATCATGGACGGTTTTTACCGCCTACTGCTTTAAGTTTTGATTTATGTGAATGGTGCTGAATTAAAACCCTTGTCACAAGCTTTAATTTATTTATTGTTCAATTTATTTACTATGGCTGGAATTACCGCCTATTGCTTTAATTTATTTATTGTACTTATCTTTTGTTACGATGAGTATAACAAGGACCCAGAGTTCCTTGATTAGATCAGAACATGCAGTTTCTTGATCCTCATCACATAAAATGATAGGACCCGAAGTTCCATCATGCAAAAGGATCAAACATGAAGTCCCTAGATCCTCAAGATCGGACATGAAGTTTCTTGATAAGTACCTTAAGTTTGAAGTGCCACAGTGCCTCAACTTAATTATAATAAAGGTCATAAAAGTCTCAGTCCATAGACTATTTAATAAGGACCAGAAGTTCCTTATGTCCATACTTAAAATGGTTTAGCAGAAGCATTTATTAAGCGGATGAAATTGATTACCCGCGCTCTGCTCATGAAAACGAAATTACCAGTTTTCTACATGGGGACATGTCATTTTACATGACGCATTATTAAGTTTGGATGAGACCAGTTTCCAACCATCAATATTGCTCAGTACAACTCGTGTTTGGGAACTAGCCAAACATTATACATTTACGAGTTTTTGGTTGTGTTATCTATGTGCCTGTAAGACTGCCACAACATACTGAAATGAGGCATCATCGTAGATTAGGCATTGATGTTGAACACCATCTATCATTCAATATTTGGAACCCTTGACTGGGGATATGTCTACCGCATGATTTGCGGACTATGATTTTGATAAGACAATTTTCTTGCCATTAGGGGGAGAAAATAACATCGTTCCAGAAGAACGATTAGAAAATATCATTCCAGAAGAATGATGAGAAAAGACCGTTCCAGAAGAACGAAGAGAATTTGTCTTATTTTGATTCACGAAGCAATCAATGAGAAAATGAAATATGAATAATTGAATGATGCAACGAAAGTGATGAAATCATATATACTTACTGCAAATGTGCCTCAAGAATTGATGTCTCTGTTGGATAAAATAATGAGACAGTAAATGATTTATCTGTTGCACGCCTGAAGCGTGGCAGATTTTTAGACTCAAAAGGTTCAGTTATTCGAAAGAAGAATAATATGGCACTACTGAACTATTGCATTCCCGAAGCATAACTGTTGCATGCCAGAAGCATGACAGTCGCCGCATGGATACACGTCCCAGATAGAACAATCCACAGACATGGGAATGTTGATGTCTCATACATGAAGCATAATAGACATATAGGTTCCAATGACTCAACTCCCGGAAGTGGAGATTAAAATCCAAGCTCTATAACGCTCAAGAGGAGGTTATGATCCATGTTTATACCATATTTAGGGCCTCGTATTTAGATCTCGTACAAATACTCAGGGGACTTAAATGTAATTATGGGATAAAGGAAGGGGCAAATATGTAATGGAGGAGGAGCCCCTTATTCTATAAAAGGGGACTCCTACCCTCATTCTAGGGGAGGCCTCACTCTCACTCTCAGAGGCCATTTCTGAAGCCTCTCACCCCCTCTCAAAGCTTCCTCACACCCTCTAAGCTCTAAGCTCTCTCTCTCCCTCTTCAACAGAGAAATACAATACAATCAGTGTGGACGTAGCCCATACATTGGGGTGAACCACGATAAAATCCTTGTGTTCTTTGTGTTCTGAGTGTTCTTGAGCGTTTGTGCAGATTCACGGTCAGATTTACGTTGTTCCAAGACCATCCGGTTTTGTGCATCAACATTTGGCACCGTCTGTAGGAAACGACACGAAAAACTATGTCGGTTCTCTTTCATTTTTTCATCTCACCACTGTCCGTCGTGGATCTGCAAAACCAAGAGACGCCCAACTCTCTCTCTATCCATCTGTTTCAGTAATGGAAAGTATCGAGCACAAACATGTGGAAGTAAGAAAGATTCCAGCCCAAGTCTCTCCCGGCGGTGGGAAGGAAATGGTTGGGCAGAGAAAATACCTCTCCCCGCGAGCTGGTAACCTCAACCTCACCCAGGCCTTCATCAAGCCCATTTCCACTGCCCCAATCCTTCCCGATTCCTGCATCCAAACAGGCCCAAAACGTTTCGATTTCCACTTCCACGGAGGCATATACGGAGGAAACAAAGGGATAGGCGAGGGTTATGTTTACAGTTGAGCAGGTCAACAGAAAATCTCCACAAATTGAAGCTCGGCTTGGCTGCTGTAGTTGGTCAAAACCAAACCAACCCCAACGACGTATAGGATTTGACACAACTTCCCGCTGGGATCCACAACAGCCGCCGTTCACATGGTTCCAGGATTATTAGACAATTTGTTGCAGGATTTCTATTTCTGGGTTATCTCCGTTTTCATGGAAGATGGAAAAATTATCAGCGAGCTCCTCCACGGTCGCAGTTCAGCTATGGCGGATCTGTACGGATCAGCTCCTCCACGGTCTCGCATATCAGAATTTGTTCCAAGACTCTCTCTCTCACTGATGAACCAATGGCCCAGCAGCAGCAGCTAACCAAGTGCAGCACCTGGTCCACCGCTCCCAACCTCAATCTTCCCCGCCAGAACACCCAGTGTTTCACCTTTCCCAATGCCAGGCGCTAAAACCCAAATTAGAAGACCAAGAGTCTGAATTGGCGGATGCGAGGGTTTGGGAATCATGCGAGGGCCGACAGGCCAAGGTGGCGGAGAATACGGTGGTCGACAAGCCGAAACTGCAGCCCTTTCAGGTATCTCAGGGTCATCCGAGTCCGCTCGGTGCCACGGCGCGTGATGGCGGGATTAACTTCGCCTTCTATTCCGGCAATGCGTTTTCCGTCACTCTCTGATCACTCTCTCCGATTTAGAGGGGGGTAAAGTTACTGAGCAGATCCTTCTTGATCCTTTGACCAACAAGACCGGAAATGTGTGGCATGTATTTCTCAAGGGAGATTTCAAAGATATCCTTTACGGATACAAATTTGATAGAAAAATTTTCGCCTGATGATGGACACTACTATGACTCTTCTAGAATTGCATTGGATCCTTATGCAAAGGCAGTTATTCGTAAGAGGAGAATTCCGCAAGCTAGGTCCTGATGGTAATTGCTGGCCTCAAATGGCTGGAACGGTACTTTCTTTTGACGATCAGAAAAAATAGCGGCAAGTTCATAAGGAGGCTCAGGCTGCCGGAGAACGCGAAGATTGATCAGGTGAAGGCAGCAATGGAGAATGGGGTGTTGACTGTGACTGTGTGTAAAGAGGAAAAAAGAAGAAAGACAAGTCGATGCCCCCGCCATCTGCAATCTGCAAAGTAAAGAGAACTTTACTTTACTTTTGTCTGCCATCTGCAAAGTAAAGCAAAGGCTAATGCACATGGACCTCAACAACAGAATAATAAATGCAGCAAAAGAACGGTGCGGTGGAAAAGAGCAAAGCATAAAGCATGGCTACCCTTTCAACATGAGATTTGCGGTGGAAAAGAGCAAAGCAGAAAATATGGCTACCCACTGAGATAATTACAAAAGTAGAAAAGAAAGAGAAAAACAAAAGTAAGGAATAAACATTCTATATGTAATTTATTATCTTTCATCTTTCGGAGACATATGTATAAACCCATCAGAGGGTAAAAAAAAAAAAAAAAAAAAAAAAAAAAAAAAAAAAAGAAAAAGGAAAAGCCCAAAACAAGTCATTCATACATAAACATTCATGAGCATCACTCATGACAATCATGCATAAACATTCATGACCATCATTCATGTCAACATTCATGAGCATAACTCATGTTAACATTCATGAGCATCACTCATGACAACATCCATGAGCATCACTCATGTCAATCAACATAAACATTCATGAGCACCACTCATGTCAATTAGCTTCAAAAGCTTCATTTACAAAAGCTCCAGTTTCGAAAGCTTCATTTACAGAGCTCTAGCTTCAAAGCTTCACTTGCAAAGCTTCACTTACAAAGCTTCAGTGCAGGGTATACAAATACCACATCCGAACAACTGCCACTTCGGCTCATACATGGATTCAATTTGAAGTCTTCAGCCAACAGACTCTATTGACCGAAAACTTGGGGGACTACATTATGTACCATATATTGGGCCTCAACTGGGCCTCATGAAAAATACTTGGGGGACTCTAGCCCATTATTTATGTATTAAGGAGTGAACCCTTATTCTATAAAAGGGACTCCCTCACCACCATTAGAGAGCATCGCCGCCTACTGAGCAACCGTCTCACTGCGAGCATCAACTCTAGCCCATCATTTATGTATTGAGGAGCGAGCCCTTATTCTATAAAAGGGATTCCCTCACCTTCAAACGCCACAAGCCGAGCCAACCAAGGCAACACAAGCTACAAGCAAAGCGGCCTCACAACATGTGCTACTTCTAGTTGAGCATCATTTCAGATTGGGCACCGCCTCATATCAAGTATTAGTTCTAGACGACATCTAGTTACTTCGGCCCACACATGGACTGAATTTCAAGTCTCCAGCCAAAAGACTCTCTTGACTGAAGACTTGGGGGACTACTGTTTATACCATATTTAGGGCCTCGTATTTAGATCTCGTACAAATACTCAGGGGACTTAAATGTAATTGTGGGATAAAGGAAGGGGCAAATATGTAATGGAGGAGGAGCCCCTTATTCTATAAAAGGGGACTCCTACCCTCATTCTAGGGGAGGCCTCACT